AGAAACTACTGAAAAACAAAACTGGAAGTGATGCCAACCACCCCAGCAAACCAAGGCATATAAATAACAAGCGGGACAGAACACCAACACTTCACCAGAAGCACACTGACGATGTTACCCAGCAGGGTAATGAAACGTCTGCAATCAAACACACTAGCTCAGCCAGCAAGTCTACAACCTCATCCACAACCCGAGCTACAAGTCTTCTCAAAACCTTTGTGCTGAAGCCCTAAAGTGGGATGCGAGCCACAGATTTTGATTTAGATATGTCTACCATAACTAACTTATGGCAAACATGTAAAGATAGTCCCCATTATTTTCAGCACAATTAAATAAAATTAGAAAGAAATCCCAGAAGCTTCATAAGGTGTTAGCAGAAAAGAAAGATATAGAAAGGTGGGGAAGAAGTCGTAATGGTGGGTTTAGCCAGTGTGACCACTCTAATCGCATTCCCTTACAGTGCTAAGCATGACTCTGCAGTCTAAACTGGAGATGGTGCGCCACCTGGAGGAAGAATACAGTAAATAGAAGTAATCTCAAAATTGTGGAGCATCCACTTCAAATGAAAACCATTTTCTGAATTAAAGTGCGAAAGCCTGATATACAATGAAATCCTAATAATTACACATCCGTAAATCTAAGTACCTCATTACCTATCTATCATAACACAAACTTGAGAACAGAGCTCAGCAATCAGTCAGCACTGGATCAGAATATTTTCAAATTTTTCTTTAAAAGATGTGCACATATTTGTTCAAAGCCCAACAAAAACAGCTTGTTAAAAATAAACAAGTTATATCTGCAATAAACGTGTATTACGGTACATACGGCCGCTTGCCTCATATTGCCATTTGTACAAACTCTTCTACATATGTAAACACGTATGCAATTGTATACAGCTATATAACCCTGCAGAAAATGGTACAACCTCAAATTTATTTCTGTAAAGACCAGTTTATGGTCAAACCTAAAAGGGATGCTGAAAATTGTTTAGAATGTTTCCCATACACTCAGCTTAATCCCCACTCCAAGTTGCTCCTATCAATCAAAGATTTACAGAATTACTTATTGTACAGATTGAAATTCTTTTCAGTTGGCCACAAGTCCAGCATTGAATTCAATAAACAAAGTAAGTGTTTGCAGTCTCAGCCCAGCTGTCAATGTACAAGTACACAACAAAAAGCATATCATTGTTGCAAAATGTTACAATCGCTAAATTTCTGTCTGCAAACATCCAAGAGAAGACAAAAAGCTCAATAAACTTGACTTTTGAGACCTTAATTGAACACATACTTTTTGAAAGATTTTTAAGATGCTTAATTTTCCTCATCCAGTGGAAAAAAGTTTCAATATCAACAGGTTCAAGACCAATTTTCAATCACGGAAGCAGTGAGAGAACTGCAGCATTCTTGGAGATTCTGAAAGTGACAATCAGCCAACTTCCCAGCTCCCCTAGTCACCATTGCCAATTCTCCATGGAGCAATTGCTCACTCAAGAATAGAAGCAATGTTCTCCACATAAAATCCCCGCTGACGCACCTGCTAAAGTTTACAAACTGTTAGGCAAAACGCCCACTGGTGGCCATAAAACCACGTCCCAGACCATTCAGAAGAGCATGGTGGTGAGAAAGGGAAAGGGGAGGAATGATGTACAATATCCTAGGTCTTGCCTGAACAGTCTGTATTTTAAAAACCCTTATGTAATTTCTTGCAAATGTCACTAGGGATGGCACTATGAATAGTTACGATAACATTTTTATTTTTAAAATAAATTAAATCTACAGAACTGTCTACTTTGACCCACAATTGGGGGACCCACAGAATTTCATTTCATATTTATTTTTAGTTTCAGATCTACTCATATTTAAATACAACTTTTCCACACCCAGAACAGAGTCAGTCTTTGGGCTTTACACATGCGAACTGACCTATTTTTTACATTTGCCATAGCTTCTGTTTTTATACAATGCCAATGTCTCTGAACCGAGGAGAGGTGATGGCCTAGTGGTAATATCACTGGACTGTTAATCCAGAGACCCAGATAATGTTCCGGGGACCAGGGTTCAAATCCCGCCATGGCAGATGGTGGAATTTGAATTCAGTAAATATCTGGAATTAACGATCTAATGATGAATCTATTGTCGATTGTCGGAAAAAAACCCATCTGGTTCTCTATTGTCCCTTAAGGGAGGAAACTGCCATCCTTACCTGGTCTGGCCTACATGTGACTCCAGACCCACAGCCCTCTGGGCAATTAGGGATGGGCAATAAATGCGCCTGATCAGCGACGCCCTCATCCCGTTAATGAATAAAGATAAAATACACTGCAACAAACCTGCTCCAAGTCTCGCACCATGTCATCCAGACTGCAGTTAAATATCCTGCTGAACAGTTTGACGATCTGTTTGTCATTTAGGTTGTAAACTGTTTTGATCACACCTGGCAATAGTAGTTTTATGGTTAAGTACACATCTCCATGGAATTTTCCTGGAAAGAAGCAAAACAACAGACACCATTATACAGCTTACCCCGAGTTGTGACAACGTAGTTCGGTCACATTGAGTTCTGAAGAAGTCACACTGGACTCCTCTTGAAACGCTAATTGTTTGTCTCTCCACAGATGCTATCAGACCTGCTGAGTTTCTCCAGCATTCTCTGTTTGTTTCAGATTTCCAGCATCCGTAATATTTAGTTTTTTTATTAGTTTTATCACATTACTGACAGGGTGTAAACTCTAATCACCAGGAAACACCATTACACCATCCTTCAAACTAAATTTCTATTTATTTTAGGCACTTTATTGAGCAAATACTGGTCAATCAGACAACAAATCTTTGTGTAAAATAGTATACTAGAATTGGGACGAAAGATTTTATTGAAAAAGTCAATGCTAAAGCTATACAAAAGGTTCCTGCTGCTTTGTGGCAGTTGTATTGGGATGGCAATCAATCATATAATCCCGACAGTGTGGAAGAAAATGCAAACCCCACATAGACAGTCACCCAAGACTGGAATCGAACCCGGGTCCCTGACGCTGTGAATTAGCAGAGCTAACCCTGAGCCACCATGCCGTCCATCAATGTTTAAATCCAGATGTATCTCTGGTCTCTAGGGATCTTACAATTCTCCAGCCTTGAATATAACAAATTACAGTCATATAAGTCAAGTACTGGGGAGCACTCAAGGAACTGTACCCTAACACAAACTCCTAATATCAAAATGGGAGGAACCTGGTCTGGCTTCTCAATGAAGAGAGTGAAACTACAGTCTCTGCTCTTAACAAGAGAAGATTGAGAGAGCATCAGCATTTGGTATCCAGCACTCTCCAGTAAGCTGGCCTTATATTTAGCAAGGATGCTTTCTAATACATACAAACAATACAATTACCATGAGAACCACAATATGATTCAAAACAAAAACAAAAATGAAAACTGAATGATTAGCAAATGACTGATTGCAGGTCCTGGGAGGCATTCTTGGAATACTGCTTTATAAGGAAAAGACTCCCAAATGCACATGTAAAATTAAACAGTTCCGTCAAAGCCAGTGCAAAAGTAAAAAGATTAGGCTCACCATCTCCACCAGTCCCCTTCCTCAGGAAATCCTGGATGATCTGTGTTTTAGTATTATAGCTCGGCTTATCTGCAATCATTGCACAAAGTTTTCGAAATTCTCGCAAAGAGCAATCTTTGTGATTCGGGTCACATGCCCCAGCTGATGGAGCACTGCTGGAGGTTGAAGGCTCTTCTTCAGGGGATCCGACTTTAGCTACATATAGGAGAGTTTGTTTTTAAAAATGTGAAAACAACCTAGAAGGAAATATCAGTTACTGTAAAAACAGTGAGTCTGCATGAGAAAGGTCACATTTTGGGAGAGACCTTACATCGAGCTAGTTCCCACCCAAGACGTTCATCTACTAAAACCCTCCCGATGCTGACCACTTGTGATGAATCTGCTCTTGTTGAAAAAGTTGCACTGAACATATTTCAATTACCATTTCCCTGCTAAATCACTTAAAAATGTAAGTTTTCATACAGCACTCTCACAGAGACTTAACAGTACAGTTAACCCAGCTCCATAAGTTTAATCTGGTGTTTTTGTAACTAGCTGAGGTTGGATTTCAGAAATAATAGCGAATTGAGGGTGTAACAAGAAAGGGAAACACGAAGAAATAATACTGCAGAAATTAATGGGACTAAAAGTTACCAATCCCCTGGACCTGATGGCCAGTTTTAAAAAACAGCAGATGCATTGGTTTAGATCTTCCACCGTTCCCTAGATGCCCCATGCATGGTAGCAAACTTGACCCCACTGTTCACAAAGAGGGAGAGGAAAAAGAAACAGGGAATTAACACCAGCATTAAGGAAAATACTGGAATCTTATTAGGGATGTGGTAATAGCGCACTTAGAAAATCAGTTAGAGTCAAAAGTGGTTTATGAAAGGGAAACAAGGCTTGTCGGATCTGTTAGGGAGTTTCTTTTTCAGCAGGTAGTCAAGGAGAAAACCAATAGATGTATTTGAATTGTCAAAAATCGTTTGTAAAGATGACATACAAGTAGCTATTAGACAGATTCGGAGCTCAAGGGATTGAGGTCAATATATTAACAGATTGAGGATTAGTTTATGGTCAGAAATCTGAAAACAGGGAAAAAACAGGTTGCGCTTAACTAGTAGTAACCACAAATATCAGTGCTTGGGCATCAACTATTTCCAATCTATATTAACGATGATTAAGATGAGGGCACAAGGTCTCAAAACATGGAGTTTAGGATGAGGTGAAGAGAAATTTCTTCATTTAAAAGGGATTATGAATATTTCGAATTCTCAAATCCAGACATCTGTGGATGCTCCGTCATGAGTAGACAGATTTTTTGTACTAAGATAATAAAGGGAATGGTATATTGAAGGTAGACTTGAGGTACAAGATTAACCCTGATCTTATTGAATGGTGGAGTACATTCCATCACTATCTCTTATGTTATTCTTTATGGCTAACATGTTTCCAACACACTGTACTGTTGAGGTACCAGTTAGAGAAATGTGTTGCAACTCATGATCAGTACCTCCTGAAAGTGCACGTAGCAATGTCAGGTGAAAATAAGAGTTCAGTGGTAATGTGCACTACTTATGTATAATTTATCATGTGAGCAGCCAAAATATGTTACAATGTCAATAAAATTGATACAAACTGCACTGCAAAGTACAGTAGCTCTTCTCTACCAGATGTCTTAGTACTACAAATAGAAAGCTCACAAACCACGCAATAATACTGCAGTATCTAGTATTCACTCCGCTCAACATAAAAAGAAACCTTTGAAGCTGCAATGCACAATATACAGGAAAACAAGCTCACATAATCCATTTCAGATACTATCAGAGACAGACTATTGATGACGTGCAGTATTCCCCTACCTGAGAATCCAGAAAATTTACGTGGTGATGGAGTGACTGGAGTGATAGTAGTTGGCTTACTTGGGGAGGGTTTGATTTTCGAAGAAAGCAAACCATTCTTGATTGCAAGTTCTAGCAAAAGAATTAGAACAACGTTACAACTTTTCTCAAACATATTTACCATCATCTCACTAACCTTCCCCTTGCAGTGCCTGACATTTACTTTTAAAACTAAGTAAGATGGGATACCATACATAACAATTCCTTATCAGTTTCAGGAATCTGTACAACCACAGCATTGAACTGGACAATCTTGTGGGTGCACTCCTGAATGTAGCTACCAATATTTACACAGACATCTCTAAACACAGCAAAGCTTAGACTCATTTTCGTCCTTCAGAAGAAGCTGTCACTCCTAGCAATGCAATTCCATGGAATTGTCCAGAAATTTAGCCGAATGGTCATTCCTCACGTGTGACTAAAGGAGACAGATGGTCTTGGATTATTTGGTTACTGGAAGCATTACAAATCATCTTGTTCTTACCAGACATTCTTTCCTGGAAGGACTCATGGAAAGTGGTCAGGATCATTAAATACATCCTTCCCATCCTAAGACAGAATATGGCTTTATCCATAACGAAAAGCCATTCTTTAATGCTCAGTATACTGACCTTTAATGTGCTGGTTGATCAGATCCCTCTCTGCGTCCTGAAGTTCTTCATAGCCTTCCAGGTCCGTTAAGTCATCAATTTTCTTGGTACTTAATCGGGCACGTTCCAGCTTTTCAAACATACATTTGATGTGATACCATTCTTTCATCTCAGCTCCCTCAGAAAAGGGATTTGGCATTATCCTCCCAATCCGTACTAGCCCTTTCGGGAGTTTCTCCCTGCACTTCTTGCAGCCAGCTGTGCCACGTTTGGCATAATCCACACAGTATCGCTGCACGGGCATCCCTGCTTTAGATGTGCAATAAGGGCAGCTAGGGACCCAAGAGAAAGTTGCAACAACTGGGTTGAAAACACGCAGTCTCAGGCCTTGCTTCACCGCCAAACGTACAGAAAAGGAATGAACAAGCCAGACTCGAGGGTAAGGAACAGCAAGTTCAGGAAGCAAAATGCAACTCCTCTGGCTTTCGAACACCAATTTGACTGGTTGACTCTGTATTGAAGTAATCTTCTCTTGTCTAAGCAAATTTTTTTTTAAATAGGAAAGCAGCCTGTACATGGAGAGTTCTCAGTTAGCTGTAATAAAAAAAAGGGAAATATACCTTGAAATTTTGAAGACACTTCATCATTTTACATCTAGTTGCACTACTCACAGGTCAGTCGGAAGACAGACTGATTTCTACCCAGATCACTGCATTAAGTCTAACAATATAAACAAACAACTCTGATCGCCCAAGATTTGTTCACAGCCAGAAAGCTATGATGTGGAAAATGTCAACATATTTCACACCAGCAATATCCTGAAATTAGTCAATGCCATTAATATCTGTTCCAGTGTTAAAGAACAGAACAGATCATTAGTATCCTGAGGATATCATGCCTTTTGCAAGTTTCTCTGTGCTCTGTGTATTCTGATTTTTTCAGCTGTGGGCTGTTTGTACTTCAGCATGATGCCAGACACACATGATTAAGGTGCTTTACTTTAAGGATACGAGTAAATATACATAATAACAATTCTAATCCTGTCACTTCATTTATATGATACGTTTTAAGAAATAAAGAGCCATGCAACACTGTCTTGGTTAGCGGACCAAATACAAAATAATTACATCTCATTAACAAAGAAGACAGTCCTGTGTGGATATGGATGTGGAGCAATAACTCGTCTTAGTCAATCATCCCAACTGACTGGGAGTACACTTCCTCTGACCAAAGGATATGGCAGCATTCCTCCAATGATATTTCTATTCAGGATATCACTATACCCTCTCAAATGGTGCTTAAAATCAAGAATTGATGCAGACTTTCAATATCAATTGAAACTCAGCCACACTAGCACTAACCCCAAGCACCAAAATTTGTGAGGGGCTTCGACAAACATGTGCTGCCCACGAACATGTTAACTTTCCCTTCAAAGATACTCAAGTACCTCTAACTACAAATCCCTCTCTCTACCTACAACTATTTCCCCTTTCTGCCACAAAGCTATCCAACATATGTTGGAACTTGCACATCTCACAAGGAGAGCCAGTGACTTGTGCTGGAAATTTACAGCAACTGGATAAAGATGAGAAAGAATAAAGTACCCTTCTCAACACAGGTTTATGCTCAGGCTCAAGAACAATGGACATCAAATCAGCAGATACAACTAGTACCTTCAAAACAACACATTTCAGATCCCCTCTTGATCAATTCAAAATAATACCCACTGCTCAAAAAGGTGCTGAATACAGCACATAATAATCAGCAGGGCAGTCCTTTAATTATACAATTACCCCAGAAAGTGACTAATACAATACTTTCAGAAATTCTCTGGCTCGAGGTCCTCCTTTTCAATACTAATCATCACATGAAGATGTCAAGCAAGTCAAGCAGGATAGGCTACAGGACGATAATAGATGGGCTGGTCACAATGATGGCAAATGGAATTTAATGCTGAACAGTGTGAGGTGATGCATTTTGTGAGGACTAACAAGGCAAGGGAATACACATTGCAGCTAGTTATGATTTACATCTTGGAGTTGGTTTCTCTAAGTCAGTGGTGTTGGGTAACTATTTTTCTATACTTTATAGTGCACGCCATAATGCTGAAACAAAACCCTCGACATTGCAATGCAGAGAGTCACTGTGGCTCAGTGGGGTGCACTCCTGGCTGAGTCTCAAGGTCTCATGCCCAAGTCCCACTTGAGGGCACGAGCATAACTTTCAAGATCAACAATTCCAGTAATCCAAAAAGGCATTGTACTGTCAGAGTTACAAAAGAGATAATATCAAGGTCCCCCATTCATTTGGGGAGCTTTATGTAAGAGATCCCATGACACTGATGAAGATCAAAGCAATTACCTGATGTCCTGGCAAATATTTATCCATCAACATCATTAAAACAAATTATCTAGCCATCATTATGTTACTGTTTGCAGAAGTCTGTGCACTCAAATTAGCTGCTGCATTTACTGAATTAGAACAGAGCCAAAGCAGCTCCCTGGCTGCAAAGTGCTTTAAGGTATCTTATGATCAGGAAAACATCATACAAATGCTTTTTATTTTCACTAACAGGTAACAGAGAGGCTTTATTATCAGCTCTGCTCATTACCTAGCTTGAAATAGTGCCAATCTTTCATTTTTTCTCCTCCCATCAGTTATTTTTAACATTGTTGCACATATTTTTACTCCTATTAAAGATATATTGTTGCTAAAATTCCCTGTTCTCTTACTCATCCATCTGGTCTAATTTAGCAAGGGAGGTGCCGAATAACTGGAGAGTGGCTAATGTTGTGCTTTTGTTTAAGGAGGGATGTAAGGAGAAGGCGGAGTCTGACTTCGGTGGGGGATAAGTCATTGGAAGTGATTCTGAAATATGCGTCACATACAGATAGGGTTGTTAAGAAGGTATTTAGCAAGCTTGCCTTCATTGCTCAGACCTTTGAGTTTAGGAGTTGGGACATTATGTTGAAGTTGTACAGGACGTTGGTGAGGCCTCTTCTGGAGTACTGTATCCAGTTCTGGTTGCGCTGGTATAGGAAGATCATTATTAATCTGGAGAGGGCTCAGAAGAGATTTACCAGAATGTTGCCAGGACTAGAGGGTTTGAATTATAAGGAGAAGCTGCGACTTTTTTCACTGGAGTGCACAGGTTGAGGGGTGACCTTACAGAGATTTATAAATTCATGAGGGATATAGACAAGGTGAATGACAGATGTCTTTTCCCTAGGGTGGGGGACTTCAAGACTGGAGGAGTATTTTTAAAGTGAGAGGAGAATGATGTTAAAAAGACGGGGAGCAATTTTTATTTTACACAGCGTGTGGAATGCACTTCCAGAGGAAGTGGTGGATGCAGGTACAGTAATAACATTTAAAAGACACTTAGATAAGTACATGAATAAGAAATGTTCACAGGGATATGGGCCAAGCACAGGCAGGCAGGAGTAGTTTAGTTTGCAATTATAGTCAGCATGGACTGGTTAGATCGAAGGGTCTGTTTCCATGCTGCATGACTCCACGACTCTACAAAATAATTCTGAACTGCACAAATCACTTTAAATTCCATTTAAGCCTCACCAATCATTTTTAACTTCTCTCCATCCTTATCGAAAACAAATTGGCAACACTCAAGCTAAAAATAAAAAGTCAATACCATCCACACAGGTACTTGTGCAAACCCAATCAACTCCTACACTACCATCTTCCTCCCTGCACTGATATCACCCTTCTGATGTTAATAAAGTCAGCTAACCATGCCCACAAATCAAGCAAATACATCCAAATTTTTTACAAAAGGCAGAAACAGGGTCCAACTGGTTCGGTAGGAGAATCTAAAACCAAGGATCGCTTACAAACACAACCATTAATAATGCCAATAAAGAATTTAGGGGAAATGTGTTCATCCGGTATGGTTATAACGTGGAACTTGCTGTCACAGTACTTGAGAAATGAAGCATTTAATAGGATGTCAGATTAACATATGATGGAGAAAGGAAACAAAGTTATACTAATGGTATGCAATGACATTCTACATTATCCCAATAACAATCTGACATGTACAAAATGGGCCAATGACATCTTGTGTTATAAACTTCCATTTCAATATTTTCCCAGCACGGTTCTCATTTTCAAATCATTGCTAACTAGCTCCTCCAATTACTACTAAATCTCAGAAATTATTCCTCTCCAAAGTGTTCAAAATCATTACCTTGCAATTTCATCCCTATCATTCCCGGGTTAAGACCCTCAAATGCAGCTTCCATCTCACCCAAAGTGCTCTAACCAAAATCACAAGAGCTAATCTGCATCGTCATAACATGATTTATTTCATACTCTCAGTCACGGCTATGTTGGATTTGTGAACACTCCGTTCGCCTTTGAGCCCAACCTGTTTCACTATTCCATTCATACAACATAGCAAACACTATATCTCCCAAAATGTGTGCTCTTCCCATGCCAAACGAGAGTCAACTAGATCTCTGTTATTTACAGGCTCCCCTATGAGGTTGTATGAAAGCACGTGGTCAGCTTTTGAAGCTGATAAAAACACTAATCTTTTTCATCTCGAGGCCACATACAAATTCTGAGGCTGTTACATCACTCCTCAACTGCCATTAACAAGAAGACATGGAACAATTTTTTTCCCAACCAAATATCAGTAAAGCCAAGTGTTTTGCTATTGCTTGCATGCTTCTGGCCAATTAATGCTAAAGTTACATTTATCCATGACACGAAAAGGATAAGCAATGTCACAAGATTAACACTGACCCTTTAGTAAATGTCAGGCTGTAAGCACCATGATGTTAGAACCACAGGATTCAGGCTAAAGCTCAAATTTATTTAAAATCGTAGAATTACACGGTAGCAAAAAGAATACAGCATGTTATTGGCAACACAGTGATTATCTTATACAAAGAACTCTTTGTGAAAAAAGTGTTCAGCATCTTCATCCTTCTCAGAAACTTTTAACAGACTAGAGACCAGAACAAAATGGGCTTTCCTTCACCCCATGGAGTGTTGCTGCTGCAGTGAAGTGAAAGCAAAGCAAAACAGAAGCAGGGAGATACTAGATTAGGAAAAGCTGCAGCAATTAAACAATTCACAACAAGATCACAACACTATAGATTGAAGCAGTTCTTTCAGACCAACTGTGATACTTCTATATAAGACAGGTAGATGGATCATTTGTTAAATGTTTTCTATCATTCAAGCGGACATAATGCAATCAAAGCACAAGCAGAACATGAACGGAATCCCTTCAGTTGTCCTGCATGCTGTTTACTTGGTCTGGCCTGAAACTGTCAATTTTGGAGTGACATCCCATGACAGTTGCAGCCTTTGTATGCAAGACGTTTGGAGCAGATAACCCTTTCTCATGCAAACTTTACTCGAATATTATCAATTTTTAAACTAAAACAAGCTTCAAAAACAGGTAATTGATCCGTTTCACAAGACAGAACAGCTCCTTTTAGCAAATGTGTGAACATGCTCCCTAGAGATCAGAAACTATTGGCCACATCTTATAGTAATTTAAGAAATAAAGAATTTTATACTAGTCTGTAGACGACACTAAATTAGAAGGAACATTTTAAGTAGTGCAAGAAGTTCCAAAAGAACATTTTTTCCTTTATATCCAGAGTGTCCTCATATGCAACTGAACATTTTGTTTGTCCCAACCACCAAATCACCCATGGTATCTTTTCATCTATTTACAACCATCAGTAAATTGCCAATATTTTCCAATTGATTTACATGGCACAGTCCATTAATAAAGGGACAAATGTTAGGTAAGTGGATTAAACAATAGAACATGAAATTTGCTACAGACAAATGCAAGGCCATCTACTTTGGACTCAAGAAAGAGGCCTTTTTCCCCCCCTAAAAAGAGCAAGAAATGTGGACCTGTACAGAAACAAAAAGATTTGGAAATCCAATGTGTATGAATTATTTAATAGTAATGAATAGGTACAAAAAGCATTCAAAAATACTAACAAATATTGGCCTTTATTTTTAATGGGCCAGATCTTTATTTATAATGGGGCAGAGGCGAAAGGGCATTGACTTGGGTACATACCTCAATGCTGAGTTATCATAATGATACCTTAATTTAAGATATTAGATTATACAGCAAGCTGTCAAAACCTAGCTTAGAGTTTTTAAATGTTGAAAGGATTCAACAGGATAAATACAGGGAAATATTTTCCTCTGAACAAGGAAACAATTTCTAAAACCAGAGTTAGCTTTATAGAGAAAATTCAGAAAGCACTTCTTAAAATAAAACACATATACAAATGAGTATTAGAAATTTGCAATTTGCCCCTCAGAAGAGAAGACTATGGATGTTGGGATAATTACAGCTATTAAGATTGAGACCTATCTTATAACATAACTCTCAAACCTCAGGATTATATTATTCCTTAAATGAATCATGTGCCCATCCACCCCCTGCATTCACCACCACTTACAGCCAACTGGGAATGCTCAGCCTCAGTGCCATTCACCTCAATGGCCCACGCCACCTTCACCATGTCACTGGGGAATTAAATGGATTGAAGTAAACCTAGGAAGGGAAGGCTGGCAGCTAACTGGCCAAGCAAAAAGCCAAGTGCACACTGCAATCAAATTGGACATCTGTTTCTCCATTACCATTGCTCCCTCAAATATCATTAATATCCTGGTGCATAGTTATGAAAGCTCCAAAAGGAAAAAAAAGGACCAGCTCCTGCCTAGTTTCGTCTCAATTCCACCCCGGCTCTTTACGAACACTTAAAAAGGAGCAAGAAACAATATGTAACATTCAGGATGCAGCAAGCATTATCTCAAAGCAGACTAAACAATAAAAAAAACCAAAGAACCGCAGACGCAGTAAATCAGGAACAAAAACAGAAGTTGCTGGAAAAGCTCAGCAAGTCTGGCAGCATCTGTGAAGAAAAAAATCAGAACTTCCCGTTCTGAGGAAGGGTCACCAGGTCTGAAACGTTAACTCTTGATTTTTTTCTTCACAGATGCTGCCAGGCCTGCTGAGCTTTTCTAGCTGATTACACAAGATCATTTTATTGCATTTTTCAAGCAATGTTGGAGTCACTGAGGTCATTCATTGTGGGGTTAAAAATATTCATAAATATCGTAACCTTTATCCAACTATTATCCCATCCGTGATATTGTTACAAGCGTTCCCTCAAAGTGTTTTCCCAACATTCACAGGCTGTTCATTTGAATGCACACGACCTTTAATTTTTCCTTTCCCCAGCAGCACTTAAAGGGGCCAATTTCTGACCGATATGCACAGTGCACTGTCACACGTACACAGTAGACCGAGGAGATAATGCTCCTTTCGCACAGACAGTGGAGGCCAAATTACTGAATATATTCAAAACTTTACTGAATATATTCAAAACACAGACAGATAAATTTGAAAATTTTAAAGGCATTGGGTGTGAGGAGAAAGCTGGAAAAATATCGAACAAAAACAGAAGTCGCTGGAAAAGCTCAGGAGGTCTGTCAGCATCTGTGAATAAAAGAAAATCAGGGTTAACGTTTCGGGTCTGGTGACTTTTCCCCTCAGGAAAAAATGGCAAAGATACAGGATCAGTCACGATCCTGCTGAATGGCAGGGAAGGAGCACAAGGCCAGACGGCCTATACCTAACTCCTAGTGTCTAGATATTTACTCATCAACCTGTTCACACATGTCATTATACACCTCCGGAGCAGATGGGACATAACCCAGGTTTCGTGGTTCAGACGCATGGGCATTGCCACTGCACCACAAGAGTTTTCAGTTGCAGTGATGTGATTTTGTTTTTAAAAAAAGGCCAGGCCAGTTTTAAATTAGATAAGTCGCTAATGATACTAAGAAACCTTTAACCTATTTTTGGTTTGTACCTGGGAGAGTAAAAGCTTAGTTTATTTCCCCAGACTTTCCTGATTTGGGTTTGTGACCATGGACTTTTGGCCCGGTGGTGCTGTCATTCCCACACACTTTGCAGTATCCTGGAGAAACGCTGCCAACAAAGGGCTTTAAAACAAACACGCCCACCAGTTTAAGAGTAACAAAAATACCGTGGATGCAGTTTTAGGATTTGATCAGATCCCATTATCTGTGCCAGTTGATATTTATTCGTGTTTGTAAATTGAAGCGGGAGGAGTGGGGTGTTTGGTGGTTAAATAGGTGGGGGGGGGGGGAAAGGGGTCCCCGCCCCGTTAAAACCCGGGCGCAGCGCCTGGGACTTTCGGCGGACAATCCGAGAGCGGAACCCGCCTCCAAATCGAGGCCCGAGGCCTCAAGGCCCAGAGACACAGGCTCCCGGCCGGTACGAGTGAAGCTCTCTGGAGTTAACCGTCCCCCCGGGGGAGAACGGCCTTCAGCCGAGGGCTAGGCCTCTCCTCACTGCTGGGTCGAGGCTCGGTGTTTTCTTCCCCACCCCCGTGGCCAGGGCCCACTCGGACTGACCTGGTATGAAGCTGCGGCCCGCTCTCCGCGCCGCCTGGAGACCTCCCCTTTAAGAGCCGGCCCTCGCGCTTTGTCCCTGCTTCAGCCGCTGTGACGTGGCGCCCGTTTAAAGGCGCCGGGCGGCCCGGCTCCCTCAGAGCTGTGGCCGACACAAAATCGAAACAAAATAAACATGAGACTCTCACTCCCGACAACTCCCTGAGCGTAGGCTGCAGTCAGTCCCTCCTCCACCGACGATCAGTAGCAGCAGTGTGGACTATACACGAAATGCACTGCAGAAATTCGCCAAAGATCCTTAGACAGCAGCTTCCAAACCCAGCACCACTTCCATCTAGAAAGACAAGGACAGCAGACACTGTACATGGGAACACCACCTCCTGCAAGTTCCCTCAAAGCCACTCACCATCCTGACTTAGAAATATATTGCTGTTCCTTCATGTCTCTGGGTCAAAATCCTGCAATTCCTTCACTAAGAACATTGTGGGGCTATGTATACCAAAAGGACTGCAGTGGTTCAGGAACATAGCTCACCATTGGGGCGGCATGGTGGCTCAGTGGTTAGCACTGTTGCCTCACAATAACACGAACCCGGGTTTGATTCCACCCTTGGGTGACTGTCTGAGTTTGCACATTCTCCCCATGTCTGTGTGGGTTTCCTCCCACAGTCCAAAGATGTGTAGGTTAGGTGGATTGGCAATGCTAAATTGCCTGTAGTGTTCAGGGATATGTAGCTTAGGTGGGTTATAAGGGAATGGATCCTGGGTGGGATGCTCCAAGGGTTGGTGTGGACTTGTTGGGCCAAAGGGCCTGTTTCCACACTGTAGGGGATTCGATTCTATGATCACCTTCTCAAGGACAACTAGGGAAGGACAACAAATGCCAGCAATGCAATACCCCACCAATGAGTTAAAAAAAGCATAGTTTGAAATTAAAATGTTGCCATATCCTAATTTACACATGCCTGTTCTAATCCAATTTCTAAGAAAAAATACTGCAGATGCCAGAGATCTGAAATGAAAACAGAAAGTGTTGGAAAAACTCAGCAGGTCCGACAGCCTTTTTAGCGAGGTATGAGAGAAGTGAAATAGAGTCATCTCTGATTCTGTCTCCATATGTGCTACAGAACTGCTGAGGTTCTCCAGCATTTTCTGTTTCTAATTGAAATGTGTTTGCCAATTCAGAAGCAGGATTATGAATTTGCTCTTATCTTGAGGGCATCCCAATGCCTTTTATGACATTTTACTTCCAAAATGTAGCTGCTGCTATGTAAATACATCAAATCTTTTCCTTAAGTAGCAAATGAGACAAATGATTAATTAAATAGTTTTCATGGAATTGAGTTGAATAAAGAATGTTTAGCAGGGCATGAAGAAAAATTCTAATTGAATCCGATATTTATATTGACCGCGGTAACATTCAAGGACAGGCTAAGTCTCCTGTTTGTAGCATTGAAGAGATCAAGAGTGGCTTGCAAATCTGGTGCAGTGTGAACAAAGACACTTGCAGTCACCCGCAAACTCTTAATCATGTATATCTTGGCTGTCAGAACACTTTTGGCACAGAGTGCATTGATCACTCATGTAAACCTTGCCTGTTTTTTTCACTGGGTGGCTTGAATAATGGGTGACTGATTGCTATTACTCCTTTTGTTAAAGTTGCAGTTTATTTCCTTGGTATCTGTTTTACCTCTTGGAAATTTGAGGCAACTGACTCTGAAACTAGACATGGACAATAAATATGGCCTTACCATTTCTCACATATCTAGATTTAAATAGGAAGTGAGTACAGATCTACAATTATGAGTCAGAAACACTAAACTATTACTTCTATTGTGATCCAGTTAGGAGGTGTAAACTGATTCCTTATTTCACACTTCTCATTTGTCCGAACAAAGTTTGAATTTAAAAACAAAGGTAATAATTATGATTAAGCATATCTAACTCGGTATCAAGTCAGCCAGAAATAATTTATTGCCAAATAATTTTGTTCAAGCAAGGCTATAATGATTATTTTTAACAAAAGTTTACATTATACAAATATATACATCTGCCCTTCTTGAAAACTAACATACATATGTACAACCTTCAAGACAGGGAAATAAAACGTAAAACCTCTGCTTTGTTATCTAAAAAATTCCTTGGCCAAGGAACTGTTAAACTCAGGAAAAAGAATTATTCACAATTTGTCCAAATGACAGTCTGAAGCCAAAGTCACTTTGCACAATTAGTGTTGGGGTGTCTTCCTGGATCAATTTTAGCTCACTGAATTCACTTTTCGTGTTCAAATTCTCTTGTCAGAACTCTCCATTTGTAGTGATGGAATCTTCCAGTGAGTTTTCAACTCTCATACTGAGATGAGAAGGATTTCAGAGAATAGCAAAGGCTGTTGCTCCAGGTAAGTTCTCTCTCTGGCTCTATATTCAATCGTTTTTGTGTTGAAATGTTTTATTAGTCTCACAAAATACAATACGTGACCTCTTTCTGAAGCTATTGTAGACTCAGTGACTCCAACCAAGAAGCTTGTAGTTTTTGCAAATTAAACATTTTCCCATTGCAGTCAGTCTCCTTTTCTTGCAAAGTGTTCTTTCCAAATAGTCAAAGATTTAGAAAAATGTCCAGACAATGATATTCTAAATTAACATTTCTGATAGCACATCTTCATAACAACTCCCACTGAAGGATGATGTTGTGTCATACAATATACTACAGGTTATTGTCATAATGCAAAATAAAATTCTAACTGTCAGATCTCACCTCCACCCATTGGTAGGATTCCAATGTGCATCACTGTTCTCACATTGCGATTTCTCTGGCCTACCTGTGGCATTTGTAAAAAGAAGCTAAGTTTCTATGTACAGATTTACACAAAGATTACTTGATGATACAAACTAGCAATGACGTTGGTCCAATCAGGTCTACATCAAGTTACCTGATCTCTGTTTGGAGGAACCAATAGGAGACCATGATTAGTCTCAGCTAGGGGTAGAGTGAGATCAAATTGCTCAGGATTCCCACTCTTAATTGCTGTCTAACACCTTCTGGAATGTGCAGGGTGAGGATTGGGATATTCTGTCCTGTGATCAAATAGTCTGCCATCAGTCACAAAGAATAGTCAGCAGATGCTTTTGGAACAATCCTTCAAGAAATAGTGCATACCCTTAGGTGACAAGGAAACAAGAAACTTAGCGGATAAAAGGAAACCAGAAGATCGAATATCACTGTGTTCTTCACCAATTTAAATTTTTAACAAAATCTTTTTTTGTCAGTTGTATGAATAAATATGAAAGTGTTTAATTATGACTTTATTCCAGTGAAGGTTATTGCATTTTTCAAATGCAAAAATGGAGAGATAACTAAATAAAGGCAGAGAAGAGCATAATATGATAACCCATGATCTCAGCTTTGCTTTATTCACAACCATTAGTTTGTTTTGGTAATGTTGATTGAGGGCTAGATATTGGCTAAGGCCTTCCTGTTCCTCTTTGAAATAGCATAGGGAATCTTTACATCCAGAAAGGGCAGATGGAGCTTCAGTTTAACATTCCATCCGTACATAAGGTAGCACTCCCTGCAGTGCCAGTTCAGATTCTGAACTCTAGTGTTTGGTGCAGGAGGGATGGGCATAATTTGACTAGCCCAGGAAGATGGATTTTAAAACGGGACCAGGAAAAACCTTATGCATCAGGTTAGCCACCTAATTCACTGCTGCCTCCTAGTGATTTGAAGAGGGGACAGTTTGGCAATGGCTACCTGTCCACCACTGGTAGATAGCCAACCAAATAAATGAAGTTGGAGGAGGTTGTCGACACCACAATGATCTTCCCTGCTGAGTCAGGATGTTGGCGGCCTTTTGGAAGCATCTTCCCAGAGGCAGGCCCGGCCCTCTGTCACCGATACCATGACTCTACCAGAAAAATGCGAAGGCCACAGCCTGATTAAATTCTTTCCTGATGACCCTATGAGCTGTGCGCAAATTGTTTTCTCAAATATTAAATCGAGCGCCTGAAGGCATCTCCATTGTGAAGCTCCTCCGCGATTTCCTTCCTGTCACAGTTGTGTGAACCTCTAGCTATGGAGGTGTCATCCACGCAGTGCTTCAGGCTCTCCTTTTGGGCATTCTTGTCTCGGGAGACTGTTCACCATCTTGAATTAGATGGCTACACAGAGGTGGCCTATTAATTAAATGATGCCAATGACGGAATATTTTTACAGTGTACTCTATTCCATTAAAAGTCATGAGCACTACCAGCTGAACCAGTTCCATTTCCCCACGAGTCAATAATCTGCACTGTGAGTTCTGAGGAGTACAACAGGTTGAAACAGTACAAAGTGCTTTTGTGGTTCAATTGTATTTGCTGTCATTCATTTTATTAATTCACTTTTCGTTACTTGCCTTTATAATGCATTGGAGCAGCAGTTTAAGAATCTTTGGTGCCCTTCTAAATCGTTGCAATTTTTAATACAAGTTCTATGTGCTTTATACAGCAGATTGGAAGGACATTGTTTAGCAATAGTGTAAGCCTGCATGCAAATTAATATATTTGCCTACGACACTAATCTGGAATGTACTCTTGAAAGGGTAGTGGAACATATTTAATAATAATTTTCAAATGTAATTTGGATATAGATATTTCGAATCAACCTGTTCACAGTTGTTATTACATACCTCTGGAGCAAAATGGACTTGAACCCATATCTCCTGATCCAGAGGTAGGGACACTAACACTGCACCACAGGAGCCCTCTGCAAATTGCATATATACTTATAGGGCAGAAATGTTTAGGGTTATGGGAAGAAAGCAAGAAATTGTGACAAATTGGACAGCTCTTTCAAGGAATCAGCACAGGTTAAATGGGCTAAATGTGCTCCTTATGTGCAATAAGACTTTATGTTTTGTTTATAGGATTTTGTATGTGTCATACAATAAATACCTTGCAACCAAGCCATATCTGTCACATTTCAGATGTCATCAAACAGACGTTACATCCAGATATAATTAGAAACATAGAAAATAGTCTTAGTGATACAAACAATACTTTGTTTCAATTTGTAACAATCTTAAAAAATATAGAAAACCAAACCCTTTATAGTTCTTTTCACCTCAAGGCAGAAATTTATCAGCAGTTAATTATTGTTCTTGACACCAGCATTCGCTGAGCTTTTGGACACCTTATTACAATCACCCCACACAGATCAGTAGTCTTAAAGGCACAGGCCCAATAAAATAAAGATCAATTTACATCTAAACATAGCAACTGTGTTTTGGACCAGCCAGGAGATCTGCCAGTAGGTTGAAAAGAAGGATCTCAGGAATTAAACACTGCCTTTCATTCGGCAAGACATGTTACAACATCAGGTGGCATTAAGTATGACATGAAAGCAGCTTTCATGATATCATAAAGAAAGTTCAGAGAATCCACGATCACAACCTCTGGGCTGGAAAGTTTGAGTTCAGGTCCTACCTGTCCTAGAGGTCCGTCACAACATGTCTGAACAAGTTGATTAAAAATAATTTTTATCATAAAGTTACATGCTACCCATGATGCGCCTTGCTGTATGGTTGGAGTTGTTTATACACGACAAAGCGTGATAGGGGCTAAGTCACTTCTGTCCACGCAGCAAAGGTCAAAAATTGGATAAATCTTCCCTTGAAAGTCTGCATCAAATGTGTAGATCAAACTCAGCTCATCAGGATTATCTACATTGTAGAAGGAGAGACGCTTTCCCTCATAATCCAGGAAGATGCCAATTTTCCGTGGCCTCACAAAGAGTGTAAGTTGGACTTTGGGGTTCTTGTATGCCTCATAAATCTTTCCTTCCTTCACTCCAATCATCCAGACTCCATTCTCAGGAGTCTTGTTCAGTTTTCCTTTGCGCCCTGTAGTTCCTTTGATGACACCGAGACGCCACTTCATCTTCTCGTTGACAATCACTTGCCAGTAGTGCTTGCCTGAGGAAAAGCCTTTGTTGGCGAGGATGCAGGTATTGTAGTCAAATCGCTCCTGTACTAATGACAAGCGCTTGAGGTACGTTCCACATTCTACCCTGGTGCTACCGTTGGTTATGATCAGAAGTGGATGTGCGGTGCTGGGATCCAATTTTAATTCCTCTGGTTCTGAAAAAAATTTTTTAAAAACAATCTACATGGGCAGAAGGTCCAGCCTGGAGATCAATATGAAATTATAGATTGCAATTTTGTGGATTTACACTTTACTGTTAGTCATACAAACTGGAATATCACACAACAATACGTATCTCACTGGCGATGCTACAATGAGGTAGACATAGACCAATTGTCTTAATTTAAACATTAATTTTTGAAATACAGCTGGCAAGGCCAACATTTGTTTCCATCCTAGCTGCACTTGAGATGGTGGTTGGGTGGGGGGGGGCTGTGTCACTCTCTTAAACTGCTGCAGAAATTAAGAAGGCTAATGTCATATTGGCCATTGTTACAAGGGGCTTCAAGTTCCAGAATAAAGAGGTCTTGCTACAATTGTACACAGCTTTGTTGAGATCAGACCTGGAGTACTGTGTGCTGTTTTGGTCTCCACTTAAGCAAGGTTTTACTTGCTTTAAAGGTATTATAACGAAGACTGGTTCTTACACTGAAAGAGTTGTCCAATGATGACAGGCTGCATAAATTGGGCCTAAACTCTCTCGAGTTTAGAAGAATGAGAGGTGATTACATTGAATAGAATAGAACAGCGCTTATTATCATGTATACTCAATGAGTATAATGAAAAGTTTATATGTCGCCAATTACAGTGCTGACTTAGACACAAATATCTAGGCACAGCTCCTTTTGTTACAAGATTTGTTACAGAAAAGAGCTCAGTACAGCAGACCACGCTGGCACTTAGCTTCCAGTCCACACCAGACCCTGGCTCCACACCGCGCCCACAACATGCCACATCGGGAGGACAATGCACGAGGTTGGAAGGTCACCACATCACGCCACACCAGAAAGGTGCTGTGGGAGGACGCCATGCCATACGGAGACCGCTGTGGGAGACCAAGAGGACGTGATGCTATGCCAGGAGACCGCTGCGCCAGGCCAGGAATTGTCACTCGCTGGAGGCTGGGAATCATCATCGGAAGCCAGGAATCAAAAGGAAGTAAAGAAGAAGGAGGAGGAGGAAAAGAAGATAAAAGAAACGCGAGGAGGAAGAAAAAGAGAAAGAAGAAAAGAAGAGCGGGCGAAGTGAGCGAGCACCAGTTTTGGTGTCTTACTCTGCCACCATCTTGCAACAGAAACATACAACATTCTGAAAGGGTAGACATTGAGAGGTTGTTTCTGGTGTCTGGGGGATCTAGAACATGAGGGCACAGTGTTCAGCGTAAGAGGTTGATCATTTAGGACACAGCTGAGAAGAAATATCTTTACTCCAGAGTGTTGTGAATCTGTGGAATTCTCTGCCCAGGGTGTAACTAGTGCTGCATCAACACTACATTTAGGGCTGGGATAGATGGATGTTTCAACTTCCAATAAATCACAGGATATGGGCAACATGAAACTGAGGCAGAAGATCAGACTTGATCGTGTTGAATGGTGAAGCATGCTCAAGCAGCCTTTGGTCTATTCCCATTCGTATTAGATCATATTGAGACGGGCCATCCGCAATGCTGTTATGAGAAAGTTCCAAGGTTCCAAGATACTATCTGCAAGATGCACTGCAGAAATTCTCCAAATATCCTGAGGCAACTCCTTCAAAATTCACAATCACTTCCATCTAGAAGGATAAGGGCAGCAGATTCAACGGAACACCACCATCTTCAAGTTCCCCTCCAAGCCATTCACCATCCTGACGTGGAAATATATCATCATTCTTTCACTGTTACTGAGTAAAAATGCTGGGACTCCTTCACGAACAACATTGCGGATCTACCTAAAGCACACAGACTACACCAGTTCAAGAAAGCAGCCCACCACCACCTTCTCAAGGGGAACTAAGGATGGGCAATAAATGTTACCTCATTCCAAAACAGAATAAAATAAAACAGACACAATGGTTAACGGATGGATTGCAATAGACTTCCAAGTCAGGTTGGTGCATGTTTTGAAGGGGAATGTGGATGTAATGGTGTCTGTTTGGACCTGTTGCCTTTGGATTTCTAAGTGGTGGAAGCCACAGGTGGGATGTACTATCAAATGGACATTGGTAAGTTGCTTCAGTGTATTCTGTAAGTAATACCCACAAGCAGCCACAGTGTGCCAGCGCTGAAGACAGTGGACGGGGTGTCAATCATTCTGATTGCTTTGTTCTGGTTGGCATTGAGATTGTTGGAAGAGCTACAAAACTAAACATAATGTCAGGTCTTCACCCCTATTGCATTCCGCTGGGATTTTCTGGTGCTTGCTAACCTACAGCCTGCTGTTATACTCGTATCTGCTACCTTATTTTCTTCAGAAGAATGCCTGATCCTGTGGAGGGTGTGCCTGGAATTCCCCAGGTTCAGTGAAGGAAAAATTTGATTTGATTTGATTTATTTATTGATTTTGTTTATATACTGTCACATGTATTTTGTTACAAAATGCAGTGAAAAGCATTGTATAGTGTCGCCACTCTCCGGTGCCATCTTAAAACACGGAAAAATAAACCAAAACATAGAAAATAAAGGCAGAAAATGAAGAAATAAAAAGTGTTCAACTTTACAGTGCTTCTTATTAAGTGCTCGATCATGGGCCATCGGCCGAGTGGCCAGATATAAGTCTCCTTCATAGGGCTGCCATCACTGGAATGAGAGTCACCACTCTTCAGCGCTGTCTCATCTCCATCGATGCCCTTGCCACAATGAGTCCTTGATTAACCTGGCTAATGCAGAAGCACTGATGCTGCTGAGTACCCATTGGCCCAAACTAGACTCCACTGCCGTCATAAGTCTGCTTCAAGCCCACCTCGCCAATGTAGCTGCTGCCAATGCCACAGGATCTCATCACGGGCTCAAATTTGCCTCCACCGCCACCTCCATGCCTCCATGTGCCAGACCAGACATCGCTGGGAACCCAAACTTGCTTTTGCTGCAGCAGCCATGAGTCGGTGCTAGGACTGCCTCATTGATGCAGAAGCTGCTGGGTACTCAAACTCACCTCCGACGCTGTTGTTTCGAGTCCATGTTGCTGGGCCTACTTGAGTCCGCCAATGCCATTGCTGTGACCAAGCTCTTCAGCAAGCGGCAAGAATAAGAAAAGAGACAAAAAGAGAAAAGACACGAAAAAAGAGAGAGAAAAAAAGAAACAGAAAGAAAAGTGGACGGGCTCAGAGGTCCTACTCCATTGCCATCTTACCGGAACATGAACAACTATCTAAATTCCAATTTCCACTGGGCACTCTGAGAGGAGAGGGAAACTCATCAGGATTTCACTCCTCATCTGAGGTAGAATAAAATACACATTCACGTCATTAAAAAAACTCTTTGTGCTGACTCAATTTTGGAATGAGTTCAGAATATGTCAGTTCCAAGCAAGCATAAGAGAGAAACATAAAGCTGTTCTCAATTCAGAACTGATCTAGTTAGTTCAGTTACTGGTACAACAGCTATGTAGATTGCAACATCTCAGGGGCACACCTCTTAATGAGTGTGGGTGGTGGTAGCTAAAGTTAAGCAGGCTGAATTAGTGCTCTGCCTTCCTATTCAATAGCACTGCACAAGTCCATATGGTATAATGTTTCTCTAATTTAAGAGACCAAAAGCAACAAGAGCAGAAGAAGGCGATTCAGCCCATTGAGTCTGTTTTGCAATTCAGTGAAATCATGGCTGATCTGATAATCCTCAATTCCATTTTCCTGGCTTTTCCCTTAATCCATGATCCCCTTACCTTCCCCTTATTAAAACTATGACACAGCCTCCATAGCCTTCTATGATAAAGAATTCCGCAGATTCTGTACACTCTGACAGAAGAAAATTCCTCCTCATCTTTGTCTTAAATGCCCTTTGGGTTAAATTTGCTTTTGGATGAGGTTGACAGTGACAAAGAGACTTATTTCTCTCCAGCCCAAGGATCTTAGTCTTCCCCTGAACCACTGAATCATACTGATTCAATATCACCACCTGTTGATGGTGTTTCCATATTGCTTTCAGGAGTGGAATTTGAGGATTTGGGCACAGCAGTGATAAGAGAAAGAAATTGTGGACATAGGGATGACAGGGATGATTAAATGGGCGGTAACTCCTATTGCCGAACTGACATGTTTTGCACTGTGTTACAGGTATTCCCTACTTGTCTGACTCAGAAGAGTGTGTGAATTACATATTTCGTAGTTAAGTACAGAAGCATTTATTCAATGCCACAGCCAGTGTTTATGCTCTGTACAAGCACTGACATTTTATTTAATCAATTCACCTTTTTCTTTTATTCTTTCAGGAGACAATGATGATCATAAACTTACATAAACATACTTTCTGATAAATAACCCAATCTGTAAATTCTATTTGTAACCTAATAACAATCTCTATTCATGTTCATCTGTATCACATATTAATGCCATTACTCACACTTGGCTGTGAAGAGACAATTTTACATAATTCCACCTGGTAACAAAATCCCTTGACTGGATCTATTTGATACTGAGTCCACCATTCAAACCCACCTGGTAAAATTCTCTTTTGCAGTTTTTTCCAGACTGTCAGTTTGATATCATCATCTCTAAAGCCAGGTTTGAAGGAGATGGTGCTGAAGGCTTTGTCCGACTGTGGCTGTGTCGCCAGTTCGCAACTAAAAGAATCACAAATGGATGAATTGCTAATAGATACACCACTGTGTTAGTTTGTGAAGCTACACACTTTCCCGAACAGCCAACAGCGAGTTACGTTTGGGCCGGTCAGTGAAAAAGTTGAATCTATAACTAAAGGGGAAGTATTTTTCACTGAAGTGACTCATAATCTTAAACTAGCAGGAGATACCTGATAATCTCAGATTCTCCAGCATCTGCAGTTCCTACTATCTCTGAAACAATCTTAATATCGATCAGTTTTTGTTTCTTTTTGCTTTTATAGAATCACAGAATGGTATCTGTACGAAGAAGGCCATCTGGCTTGTCAAGTCATTCAGTCATAGAGCTGTACAGCACAGAAACAGACCCCTCAGTCAACTCGTCCATGTCGTCCAGATATCCTAAATTAATCTAGTCCCATTTGCCAGCATTTGGCCCATATCCCTCTAAACCCTTCCTATACATATACCCATCCAGATGACTTTTAAATGTTGTAATTATACCAGCCTCTACCACTTCCTCTGGCAGCTCATTCCATACATGCACCACCCTCTGTGTGAAAACGTTACTCCTCAGGTCCCTTTTAAACATTTCCCCTCTCACCTTAAATCTATGCCCTCTAATTTTGGACTCCCCTTTCCTGGGAAAAAGGCCTTGACTATTCACCCTATCTATGCCCCTCATAATTTTATAAACCTCTATAAGGTCACCCCTCAGTTTCCTACGCTCCAGGGAAAATAGCCCCAGCCTACTCAGCCTCTTGTTACAGCTCAAACCCTCCAAACCTGGCAATATCATTGTAAATCTTTTCTGAATGCTTTCAAGTTTAACAATATCCTTCCTATAGCACTATAATATGATTATTCCTATTTCTTTCCTAAATCTGTGTTGGTTCTCTGTAAAAGCTATTCAGTTAGACACTGTGCTCTGCCTACTCCTAGCCTTGCAAATTTACTTTTCTCTTCAGATAATTATACAATTCTCTTTTGAAAGCCATGATTGACACTATCTTCACCACACTCTTAGGCTGTGCAAGTCCTATCAAACGCTGTATTAGAGATTTACCTCATGTTGACTCAGGTTATTTTGCCATCTTCAATTGCTTTCCTCTGGCTCTTAACTCTTCCCCAACAGGACTGGATCCTCCCAATCCACGCGTTCCAAGCTCCTCATGATTTTGTACACTGCAATCAAATCCCCTCTCAACATTCTCTTCTCTAAAAAGAACAACCTCAGCTTTGCCAATCTACCATGTCACTGAAAAGATAGTAAGGACTGCCAATGCTGGAGTCAGAGATAACACAATGCAGAGCTGGAGGAACACAGCAGGCCAGGCAGCATCAGAGGAGCAGGAAAGCTGATGTTTTGGACCTGGACCCTTCTCAAAAATGGGAGTGGGGAAAGGGAGCTCTGAAATAAATAGAGAGAGGAGGGGTGGGGCTGGGGAAGACAGGTGGGATGGTGACAGGTGAGAGCAGGTAGGCAGTGGTGGGGATTGGTCAGTGAGGTGGGAGGAGCGGATAGGTGCGAGAGAAGACGGACAGGGTGTGTCAGGTCAAAGAGGCAGGGATGGGAGGGACGCTTGGTCATGGGATGAGGCGATTTTGAAACTAGTAAAGTCCACATTGAGACCATTGGATTGTAGGCTCCCAAGGCGGAATATGAGGTGCTGCCCCTCCAGTTTCCGGGTGGCGTCATTGTGACACTGGAGGAGGCCCAGGATGGACATGTCGTCCAGGGAGTGGGAGGGGGAGTTGAAGTGGTTTGCGACTGGAAGGTGTTGTCGTTTGTCACGACAAGCCTCCTTGTAGACCACTTGCGCTCTGTTCGCGACAAGCGACAACACCTCCCAGTCGCGAACCACTTCAACTCCCCATCCCACTCCCTGGACAACATGTCCATCCTGGGCCTCCTCCAGTGTCACAATGACGCCACCCGCAAACTGTAGGAGCAGCACCTCATATTCCGCCTTGGGAGCCTACAACCCATTGGTCTCAATGTGGACTTTACCAGTTTCAAAATCCCAACCTGGACTCATCCCATGACCAACCTTCCCTCTCATCCCCGCCTTCTTGATCTGGCACAACCTATCCGTCTTCTCTCCCACCTATCCACTCCTCCCACCTCACTGACGAATCCCCACCACTGCCTACCTGCACTCACCTATCACCATCCCAGCTACCTTCCCCAACCCCAACCTTCCTCTCTCTATTTATTTCAGAGCTCCCTTCCCCATGCCCCATTTCTGAAGAAGGGTCCTGACCTTAAACGTCAGCTTTCCTGCTCCTCTGATGCTGCCTGGCCTGCTGTGTTCCTCCAGCTCTACACTGTGTTACCATGTAACTGAAGTTGCTCATCCCTGGAATCTTTCTCACAAATCTTTCCATCCTCTCCAATGCCTTCATTTCTTTCCTAAAGTGTGGTGCAGTGAACTAGTCACAGGACTCCAGTTGAGGGCAGGTCAGTAAAACTGCTAGATAGCGTTAATATTTGTAATTTACCCGAGCTGGTTGGGCCCTAAAGTTCACAGCTGCTAGACTGTGTCTGCGGCAGGTAGTGAGGGAACCAACAAGAGGGAAAAACATACTTCACCTCGTTCTCACCAATATGCCAGCTGCAGATGCATCTGTCCATGATTGTATCGGTAAGAGTGACCACTGCACAGTCTTTGTGGAGATAAAATCCTGCTTTCACATTGAGAATACCCTCCATCATGTTATGCGGCACTATCACCATGCTAAATGGGACAGACTTCAAACAGATCTAGCAACGCAAGACTGGGTGTCCATGAGGCTATGTGGGCTATCAACAGCAGCAGAATTGTACTCCAGCAAAATCTGTAACCTCATGGCCCTGCATATTCCCCAACTCAACATTACCATCAAGCCAGGGGATCAACCCTGGTTCAATGATGAGTGCAGGAGGGCATGCCAGGTGCAGTACCAGGCATACCTGAAGATGAGGTATCAACCTGGTGAAGCCACCAAACAGGACTACTTGCACGCCAAACAGCGAAAGCAGCAAATGATAGACAGAGCTACACGATCCCATAAACAACTGATCAGATCCAAGCTCTGCAGTCCTGCCACATCCAGTCGTGAATGGTGGTGGATGATTAAACAACTCACTGGAGAGGGAGGTCCCACAAGTATCCCCATCCTCAACGATGGAAGAACCCAGCACATCGATGCAAAAGATAAGACTGAAGCTTTCACACCAATCTTCAGCCAGAAGTACCATACGGATGATCCATCTCAATTTCCTCCAGTTGTCCCCAGCATCATGGATACCAATCTTTTTGATTCACTCCACGTAATATCTCAAAATAATTGGAAATACTGGATATTGCAAAGACTATGGGCCCTGACTACATTCCAGCAATAGTACTGAAGACTTGTGCTCCAGAACTTGCCGCTCCACTAGCCAAGCTGTTCCAGGACAGTTACAACATTGGTATCTACCTGACAGTGTGGAAAATTGCCCAGGTATATCCTGCACATAAAAAACAGGACAGATCCAACCCGACCAATTACCGCCCCATCAGTCTTCTCTCGATCATCAGTAAAATGACGAAAGGTGTAATCAACAGCGCTATCAAGCAGCACCTGCTCAGCAATAACCCGCTCAGTGACGCCCAGTTTGGGATCCGCCAGGGCCACTCAGCTCCTGATCTCATTACAGCCTTGGTCTAAACATGGACAATAGAGCTGAATTCCAGAGGTGAGGTGAGAGTAACAGCCCTTGACATCAAGGCAGCATTCAACTGTGTATGGTATCAAGGAGCACTAGCAAAATGAGAATCAATGGGAATCAGGGGAAAACTCTCTGCTGATTGGAGTCAACCCTGACACACAGGAAGATGGTCGTGGTTGTTAGAGATCAGGCATCTCAGCTCCAGGATATCTCTGCAGGAGTTCCGCAGCGTAGTTTCCTAGGCCCAACCATCTTCAGCTGCTTCATCAATGTTCTTACCTCCATCATAAGGTCAGAAGTGGGAACGTTTGCTGATGACTACACAATTTTCAGCACAATTCGCAATTCCTCAGAACCTGATGCAGTTCATATTCAAATGCAACAAGACCCGGACAATATCCAGGTTTGGGCTGACAAATGGCAAGCAACATTTGCGGTACACAAATGCCAGGCAAGGACCCCCTTGAATAAGAGAAAATCTAATCACTGCCCCTTGACATTCAATGGTATTACCATCACTGAAACCCCCACTATCAACATCCTGGGGGTCATGATTGACTAGAAACTCAACTGACTCACCATATAAATACAGTGGCTACAAGAGCAGGTCAGAGGCTAGGAATACTGCAGCGAATAACTTACCTCCTGACTCCCTAAATCCTATCAACCAGGCACAAGGCACAAGTCAGGAGTGTGATGGAATACTCCCCACTTGCCTGGATGACAGCAGCTCCAAAAACACACAAGAAGCATATTTTAAAGGTAAGAGGAGAAAGATTTAAAAGGGACATGAAGGGCAACATTTTCACACAGAGGGTTGTTTATATGTGGAAAGAACTGCCAGAAAAAGTGGTACATGCAGGTACAGTTACATCATTATAAGATATTTGGACAGGTATGTGAACAAGAAAGTTTAGAGGGATATGGGCCAAACACAGGCAAGGGCAACTAGTTTAGTTCGGGAAACTTGGTCGGCATGGACATGTTGGACCGAAGGGTCTGCTTCCATGGTGAATTACTCTATGGCTCTATGTATCCTTTGATCACTAAGGATATAAAAATATATGTTCTTCTACAAAATGTGAAAAATAAATAATTACTCATAGACTAACACAGCACCTATCATTGAGATTTTGGGAAACTGGGCTGAGCAGTCAGTGGCTTAATTTCTGGGATCTAGATTCAAATCCAATCCAGCTTAATGAAATAGTAATGTCCTCTGCCTGCTGTCTGTGAGATACTGTGTGAGACGATGTTAGGTAGTCTCAGTACAGTTTAAAATAGGCACTAAAACAAAAACAGAAACTGT